TTAGCGAAGAGTTTATTTGTAGTCATTCGATTTTAATGCGATAATACATTATAATCTAGCCCCCAAAACTAATGTACTACGAAAATGCGTCAGTTCCTGAGATCGTGACAAATAATCAATAGATATGACTCTTCAATAGAAATGCGCGCAGCCAAAAATGATACATTGCTATCCAAAGACCAGCTGCGACATTCCATACGCACCCATTCCATTCTTATGCCGACTCTTAATAACTTCTGAGTAAATCGTAATCTTTATCATATATTCTGTAGTAATGTTTCTATCGACTAGCATCAGGAAAAGGGCGAAATTGAAGCAATGCACGATGGTGTACACCTTCAGTCCATGCCAATGGACACAAAATTTGTAGTTTTCGAAATTGCTTATCAAGGTGAATGCTTGCCAATGTGAAAGCATCCAATAGCATAAAAACTTGAATTTTCCAGTAATATGGAGCATCGGATTCGAAGAGATTACATTTAAATCAGTTCGCGCTATCTGTCACCCTAGACAAAAGACATATATAATATAAACCAAATGTCTTATAAGAACCGAAAGTAGTCGAATGCAAGTCGAGTGAATGGGCGAACCAAAGAGCGAATCGGCGACCGCAAGAGCAAAAGCATGAAAGAAAATGAATAGGCGAATAAAAAGAGGAACAGAGAGACGGACGGAAAATAAATTATTCAACGTGCCACAACACTAACAGCAAGATCCGTATCGAGTGTTTACTGGCAGGCGCTCTGATAGTGCGATACTTCTTAAGGCAAATATAGCCTCCGAATCCACCTTGGTCGAAGAAACTTTGAAAATCCGTCGTAGCGAAAAGTAGTTGAATTCGTGTAGCTACAAGTTATCCCAAAGTTATCTGTAAGTAACTGTCACGATCATGTTCAGATTGTTTCAAATTAATCACGGATTTCCTCCACACCGTTACAGCTTTAAATGGATGTAATGTTAAGTAAAATGCTTTCTGGATTTAGTTTTACTAAGTTTACCAATGAGTGGCAACGCTTTTTCGTCCCCATGTTTTCATATTATTTTGTGCACCTTGCCAAAAAAATCTTCGATAAAATTGAGCAAAGAACAAAAAAATTTTTAATTTATGAGAAACTAAAGTTTGAAGTCTTGAGAAGTTTGTATCGCCAAGGACCAAACACAATTTTCAATAAATCAAAGAAGGTCTCTATAGAACTGATTGTTTCTATGAGGTTTCAAATCACATGAAGTTCGGAGTTCAATTGCACCAAGAACATTAACGGCCGTGTTTACTACGTGCGGTAAAACAAATAACGAAAAAATTGTCACACCTTAATCAGATATTCATATGTCTATGTATATGTATGTATAAATACACTCACACATAAGCATACACGTGTACTCATTTAAATTTAATCCAAATATATAGGTGACGTGCTCGTCGCGAGATATTCCTTTTATGAAAGCCTGCTACAAATGGAATTTTAATAGAACGTGAAGCTCTTTAAAAATCACTACATTTAATTCGCGCTTCAAGCACATAACCAACGGCAGAAAAGAGAAAAATAAAAAAAAATAAATAAATAAAAAAAATAAAAAAAAGTATATTTGGATCGATAAATCGATAGTTGGTTGATTGCAGTTTGTATGTCGAGTTGCGGTGTTGTCTTGTATCGGAAATAAATAGCAACGTTGATATTGGTGATTGTGGTTTCATCGATCGATTAAATGCGAACCACAATGGCTTACTTTGTTCAGGCTTTATACTAAATGGATGCATAAATTTCGTATTTATCTCTTATCGTACACATAACACAACACAGAATGTAATGTCCAAAGCAGTCCACAACTTTGCTCTGTACTGCATTATGCAGTGTTCATACACACACACACACACACACACACACATGTATATATATATATATATATATTTATATAAATATACACATATACACATATATACATACATATATGAATTTAGTTATTTGTAGATTTGTCGGCAGGCCGACATATGGCTCGAGGCGTGTTTGCAAATAATTAATGTACATCTGGATTTTCACACTTAAGCCATTTAGGTAAATGGATGGAAAAATCGCGCAGACTCGCTCACTCACGCACAAACGTATAAATATACATAAGTATCTATGAATCAAGGCATATATATATATATATATATATATACAATGTACATACAATCATGCATGCAACAGTTTGAAGTCTCAATACTTGTGGCATAATTTAATATTTGACGTTTTCGATAATAGCCCCAGTCAATGATATAAGATCCAACTTATCAAAGTCGCTGGATTGTCGTCATTCTAAATACTGTCAATAAAAAGCGCAAACATTCAAAGCTAATATGCAAATAATGTCCCACTGAACTTGTTTAAAAGGAGAAGCAATAATCGGTTTCACATATAGATATATCATCCAATGTTTATGGTATTTAAACTGGCCCAGAGCCAGTTCAAAGCGATTTTTCCTTCAATTTAAAACAAGAATTAACTAACGTCTTACAAATCAATTCACGAAACAACTTTTTCGATGAAGCGCAGCGTTCTTATCATCAATAACTGCAATGCGACCAATAAATACATCTTTAAATGTATCCCTACAACAAAAATAAATGTCTTTATGTAGCAGAAAATAGTGAGAGAGTAAGACAAACGATAAAATGTATGCTGCTTGTATTTACAGATGTAAACTTCAAGCAACTAAAGTTCTTTTCCATATCACCGCTTGCAACAGGAATGAGAACACAATTATCGTCGGCATGCACTTCTCTTCAACGGCATATATAAGCTCATCTTATTGCAAAGCAATGATAAGCTCGGAATTAATATATAGCAGTAGTAAGATGCAAAGCGAACATTTCTATAAAAATATTATAGTTTCAGGATATTTTAAATGGTTCAATTTGATTACATCCGTATCCCTTCCTAAAGTTATATCTTGCTAACCAAACACAATTCCCTAATTCAACGCGAATGAGAAAGACGAACTCTTCCCCTACCTTTTCGATGAAAATAAGACAATTATTTCATTGCCCTCGTTGCGGATCGGATATATATATTTTAACACCCGTAGAAACACGATCCTAAAGCCTTTCATTACCAAGTTATCAATTAATTTATAACTAAGCATAAGCTAAACTGAAATGCTTAAGAAATTTATTCCAGTCTTTTGTGCGTAAAAATTCCATTGAGATAATTGGTATCTGGTCTACTTAATAGCTCCGATATATACTTGTATCGAATATGACAAATATATATGTTTATATATATATATGTAATTGAAATTCTTTCATTTGTTTCTTGATTAATTCAAGCTGTTCCTATTAATTCAGCTGTTCCTGATGGAACTTAACGGACGATATATCCGTAATGGTTCGATTTTCTATTGTAAAATCAGCTCTTCAGACAAGCAGATCGCTCACACCAAATTGGTTCAGCATCTCGGGCTGATGTGCAATTTACACATGTTGCAAACCCAATTCACACCAGAACCCGGGAAATTTCATTGGAGCAATACACATAGTTGCGAAGTCTAAGAATAAATTGGCGCTAAAAACAAGGTGGTGAGTATCAGCCGCAATCTAGAGAATCAACAGTTTTCAACATTCATACTATTTTTCTAATCATTTCAACAGAGAGCTTAAGAAGATCTTTTCGAAGCGGATATTCCCGCTGTTCGGCGAGGAGGGCTTCGCCACTGCGAAATTAAGTACCAATCTTTTATATAGTGAGGATTCCAGTGTGATCCATGATATGAGAAGAGTAGCATGGCTAAATTATTATGGAGCTAAGAAGTAGTGCCTTAACCGAAACCAAGATCGTAGGTTGTGTAGACATATCTCCGCGGACCTTGAATATCAAAAATTCAAACACAAGTGTAGCTACAGTGCAGCTCCACAGCAGGCTGAGAAAGGACTTCCAAGGAGTTTCATGCTTGTTGTGATTACGCCAATATCCGCGAGACATTAAATATTGCATTCGTAGATAGACGTCGTCTTCCGCAGAGCAGTGAGAATGTTCAATTAAACCATGACTTTGTTTTGGCGTTTTAGGAGTAAGGAGGTCCAATGCACCCATCCGTGCTAAACTTCATGAAGAGCGCTCGTAAAGTAAACGAACATACCCGTTTTCCAATTGTGTCAAACGGGAGCCGTCCATTACGCATTTCAAGACAGTCAACCGGTTCATCACAAGCTGTTAAATATAGAACTTAATCTCGATCGCCAGTCGCGTAACTCCCATAGAATATAAGCCATCATCAAGAAGAAAACTATTGTTCTCACTTTTAAAAGCGTTCACTTTTTATTAGCGAAGGAGAAACACATCTATGGTATAAAACAAGTTATCCAGAGAGATGATGAATGGAATGAATGGGTTGAGAAAGTATGTGGCAACTAACGCAGCAGCATGAGCACAAAATATCATAAGACCTTAACTAGTGGCGAAAACGATCTCGACCTTTTAATGTCCGATTAGGTAAGCATTTATCGAATTCATTTAGTGAAATATATGAAAAATAGTTACTTACATATGCGTATTTGAATAACTCATGGTGGCCAGATCGCAGTTTTGCTTGGGAAATCGATTAAATGAAAACTATGCTTCGGTTGCATTTATTGACACATTATTGTTTTTTATTCGATTTTATAGGAGAGTAATTAATACAAATGACATAAAATTAACATTTCCATCCAAATGGATTTATATTCATAGTTATATATCTGTACGTACACCTGCATTTCTGTTTAAGTGTATATGCGCGTACATACCTATAAACCTATAAATAGATATGTTTTTAACTACAGCTGTTGGTGTGTGGCTATGTGTATATTTATAAAGTGTGAGAGTGAGGTAATAGAAAACGTTTACTGAAATATGTATGTATTTATGTACGTACGTATGTATGTGTGTATGTATGTATGTATATATGTATGTATTTATGTATGCATGTATTTATGTATGCATGTATGTATGTATGTATTTATGTATGTATGTGTATATGTATATGTTTGTGTATATGTATGTATGTATGTATGTATGTATGTTTATTTGTTTATTTGTTTATTTGTTTGTATGTGAAAGTATCTCTGTTAATAAGTAGCTCATAGAATGTTTTAATGTAACGTTGTTAATCGGTGATCAACACAAAAACCTTTGGTAAATTGAATTTCTTGGTAATTAATTGCACGTGACACATATACTTTGTTGCGGTGCCATTGATAATTGATCAACAACGTTCATGTTTTACTAGTTGATTCGGCGGTCTGGCCGGTTGATTAGTGCTTCCTGTGGCCGAAGAATATATATTTGAAGACAGATCGGCATCATCGTTAGAGTCGTCGTGTACATTAATTTCCTCTTCGGACTCGGAGCCATCGACAGAGAGTGGTTGTACGTTTTCTTCATTTTGCGGCAGTAAGTGTGTTTGGTGCTCATGATCAACTGAGGAAGACAAAGATGCCGCGACAGCATATTGTCGGGCTAAGCCTAAAGCAAATGCTGCCGCTGAGGGTGTATTAACTAAAGATCGAAAAGCGCTGCGTTCCCCTCCCATTGATAGACCAGCAGGCGTGGCTACCGACGCCGAACTAATGGCCATTGCAGCTGCTGCCAGCTGATGTTGCGTATCATTAGAAACTACCGACATGTGATTTTTTGCTATCTGTTGCTGCTGCTGATGATAGTGATTTAACAAGAGAGCTGCTGCCGCCGCTTGAGAATCGCTGTGATGTGCATGAATGCCAGGTAATTGCGATGAAACGTGCGAAGTTGGTACTGGATTAGAAGGTTGAAGCTGATGCTGCATAGATGGGATCATCACCATCTCAGATGATGAACTAGTAGTGCCAGGATGCATTTGTGTTTGAGCTGTCGATTGCTGATGATCATTGTGGCATGTCGAAGTATTACTATTGGTACTAGGTGACGGTGATGTGGGTGTTGTAGGATGATTACTCAGTTCAAGCGATTGCGCTGTATAAGAAGTAACTGAAGAGCTGTTTGTAGGGCTATTACGTCGCTTCAATAAATTCATTCGTTGGTGTCGACGCCACTTAGCCCGTCTGTTCGAAAACCAAACCTAATCAAAAGAATAAAGAGACCAATCGAACCAACAATTTTATAAAACGGTTTTTAACCTTTACCTGCACTCTAGCCTCGCTTAATGAAGTACGACTTGAGAGACGCTCTCTTGTACTTACACAAGGATAATGACTCTTGTCGAATTCCTTTTCTAGTTCTTCCAATTGTTCCGGCGTAAATGTCGTACGATTACGCCTAAATTTTGGTTCATCGTCATCGTCCATATAATCTGAATCAATATGCCGACTGTCATCTGGCGAGTCTAATGTATCCCGACTAGCCGAACTAGGAGAAATAGCGCGGCTAGTGGTATTAGCGCTAGTTGTTGCCGGTGGTAGAATATGTACTGATGGCGTCAAAGCAGTCAAAGTTGTGCCCATCGGCGGCGGCCAAAAATGTGGGGGAGCCGCTGCAGCTGGAGCTGCTGTTGCCGCCGGATGCCATGAAAATCCACCATACGCATGAGAAGGATATAAACCATAAGCTGCTGTGCGTGCAAATTCACTGGCTACACGTTCAGCCGCCCGATTTCGCAGAATACGATTGATAGATGAAACCGACGGTGCTGTGCTGTTTGTACAAACACCTAAAAAGTGAAAATAACAAAAAAAAAAAAAGAGGGAAAGCAAACATAACACTTAGTATCTCGAGGTCTATTACGTCGCAAGGGTATCACATTTCGCTTATGAATTGCGCCGAAAACAAAATGTTTAAAGAAAAATTCTCATGTCAATCTAATTAATCGTATCAATCAAGTCGAGCCGTGTCTAAGGGCGCTTCCACTTAAGCGAAATGTTTCTTCTTTGTCGGCGATCATAAAAAACAAAAAACGCAAAACATCGATCCCATCCCAAATGAGCAATCAATCACGTTGCAGTCAAAAAGCAAAGAAAAAAAATTAATATATTTATAGCGTGTACCTGTTGCAAAGCTAACGCATATATTACAAAAACTCATAAGCCCCATATTACGTAATTACCGATAGCCCCTGTTTGCTCATACGTTAAGATTGTATGCAAAATATATTATGTGGAGATCACTTACCTTCTGATATCAAACGCTCGCGTATTTCCCAAGCAAATATTGTTGGATTTTCTCGTTTATATTGTTCGATTTTTGAAACAACTGTTGGTGTTGCTACCTTTGGCTTGGAGCCACCAATTAGTCCAGGTGGACGTAACGAACCTGCTGCAACAAAACAAAAATCAAATAAACGCTTGTGCGTAACTTTACTTCTTTGCTTTTAAATCAAAGAAACCAAAAAAATAAAAAAAATAAAAAAAATAAAAAAACATAAATCGGAATAAGAATAAAAACAAGTAATAACAACAACAAATGAATATAAATAAATATACAAACGATGCTAAACACCGTATATATGTACCCAGCACGCAGCATAAAGTCCGTAGAAATGTAAAATGTTATGTATGTACTGCAACAAATATGTTTGTGTGCGAAGAACATACATATAATGGTAGGTTTGTGTCAAAATTGCATAAATCTGAGGAACCATTGATTCTGTACTCCAACATCTTCACGTTCACGGTCTATTAGTGAGTGGTGCTTGCTGGTTAGTTTTTATCGAAATGCATCTATAATAACTTTATCAGAAATGTGCAATCAAGCGAAGCAGCGTACTGCCAACTTCTGGTGCTTCTATTTCAATTGGCCACGCTTAAATGCAACTAACAAATTATTTATGCCAAGTACACACACGCACACGTTCGCACATACACACATATACATATATATATATATATATATATATATGTAAACGCACATATATGCGCACGTACGCATACACGTAAGGAAAAAGAATATTCCAATCAAACGGCCTGGAGGTCGGCCATATGACTAAATACAGCAAATGTGACATGAATAAAGGAAAATACTACGCTATGCTGTGATGAAACGGACCACCAAGCTAAACTAGTAAAAATAGGCGTGTCGGATTATTTAGAAAACTGAAGACAAAGTTCAAATTCGCACCTTTGCAAAGGAAATGCCAGATTCGGAATCGGCCTTGCTACCGGACGATATGAGCATAATAGAGGTAAATTTAAAATGCTACTTAACGCTAGCATATGTAGTTTAAAAAAATTTAGACAACGGTCTAAATCACAGGCTGGTTGGGGTAACATTTAATACTGCCAAACGATTGTAACAGACTGCGCAGAAAGAATATCGAACAGTTCAGAATATATGTTCCACAGAGATGACAGAGGTGAGGTAATGATCGCAAAACTTGATACCGCGAAAACCGACATCTATGGCAACTTTGGATACATATTACATGATGAAGATAATATGAAGAAGACCATAAATAAATAAAAGCACTGCAAACGCGGAATCCGATTGAAAAGAGAACGTTTCAATACAATTCCAGTATTCCAGATTGTGTAACGTAGTACATTTGGAATAGCGTAGTAACCACTTCATAAACTTGAACTATGCTTCAATGCCAACAAAGTCAAGTTGAACACACCTTAAAGAAGTTTACTGGTGAAGCGTCGAAGTAACTAAAGTATGAACGAAACGCAATAGCATACGTATACAGTAGCAGAGACCACAGAAATAATGGGACATACCTGCAATACTCAAAACATAACAAGGAAGAATGACGGACGACAACTTTATAGTCGAAAGTAAATATGAAAGATTAATAATCTTACAGAACATACTAATGAGCGCAAGGATGTTACGCAGTCTACGATGGCCCTCTGCGAATACCATATTATTAACGCTCTTCGCTTTCGTAACGAAAGAGAACTTTATTTTAGTTACAACAAGGTTCAAAGTAGAAAACACTCCAAGGTCGTAGTAAATTACAAATTGTCAAAGTCAGACAGTGTGGCTGTGAATTTTTCCAAAAAAAAAAAGAAGAAAAGAATAGCCAACTACTGCGACAAACTAATTGAAACAAACTATAAATTATATTCGGCGAAGTTGCGTTGCTTATGAAAAGGCAAATGAAAAAACAAAAAATGCAAGAACGTCTCAAGAAAATAATCTGTCTTAGCCGTTTTTCTTAGAACTTAAGTCACTTGTAACTGGTTGCGAGACCGACATTGTTAACATCGCTGTAGAAGATATATCCTTATGTTTAACCTGCCAGTTAGCTAACTTGCAGCTTGCAGACACACTGAAGCAGCTCATATGTACTGCAGAGGAGAAGCAGAGAATTTAAGGATCAAGCAGCACCCAAGAGAAGATCAAATATAGGAGTGATGATGGGCGATGATTTATCATGCAACGTCCATCTAAAAAATTCGAGACTGAAAGTGGCGACTATAAGAACTGCTTGTTTTTTTTTTTTTCAAGATTAATCACAAACAACAGGGGTCCGAGAAAAATTCTGGGTCACCTAGCGATGGAAGTATTAAATTTTTCGCTAGCAACATCTTCGCGTTAGTTTCCCCTGGTTAGTGAAGTTTTTTGATCTCAGGCGGAATAGACCAACATAAGTTTTACACCATACATATACAAATACCTGTGAGGTGCTGACAAGATATATATCGGGAAAATAACTTCCACTTTGCGTAGCAGTCGTATTTTATACATACCTATATAAATCTAGTTTCCGATATCAAAAAATACGGCATAAGCCAAATATAACTTTTATCTCGTTTCCCTTAAACCAAGAAGAAAATACACGCGAACAGATTGCCTTGAAATATCGCGTTTAGTTTTATGAAATATGATTTCAAAGACTAAATAAATATATGGTCCGTTTTCTACTACATAAATCTCATTTGAAGACATATTCGATCAATTTAGTATTTGGATTAATTGTGGCAAAATTACTGTTCAAACTCAACATTGGCTTTCAAGGTGCTATATAAACTGTTCTCCTCCGAAACTAATAATTTATCGAAGGTTTTCTGATTTCAAACGAAGTCGTACGAGCACCGGTGATGCTAAACGAAGTGAATGGCCAAAGGAGGCGATTAAACCAGAAAACCTTCGGGAACTTATTTTCATGAGATTGCAAGAACTAGCTTCCACCTTGAAGATATCAAAAGGCAATGTAGTTAGTATGAAGTTCGGATATGAGAAAACGGGGAATGCCTTTATTCACAACTGAAAAAATGTATTAGATCGCAAGTCGAAGTCTATAGGGCCAAAATGACGTGAGTTAAAGCTCGAATTGCCGCCCCACAGAGTGTATTCTTCAGATTTGCATCTGTTTATAAATCTCAAAAGGATGCTGCAGTGAAAGAGATTTAGAATGAGAATTAGCGGCATTGGGGATCTTAGCAAATCGTTTTATAAAAAAATTAGCAAATTATTAGAAAAATAATGTAACTCTTGAAGAAGATTATGTTGAAGACTAAGTTCAATTTTGTAAGAATAATCTTTTCTTTTTCTTTTGCTACCTGATTCTGGGAATTATTGACCGATATATATTATTAATTATGGATAATTTCGCAATCAATCGTATGCGAATCTATTTTCCACATTATTACAGCAAAGAACCCCTTTGGCTGTTTTCTAATTTTGCAGTGTTCTAAAAATATTAATTGTTCATCGATTTCATGAAGTCTGCACAGTACTTTATGGAAATATTACTAAGCTTTTCTTTCGGCCTAACTTGGTACAATATTTACAAAACTTAATATATTTGGATATTCTCGGTACTATACAGTTCTTTGAGCCTTACTACGAATATAACACACTGAAGATGTGGATCTCACGACATCTGCATACTTTCTTTTTCTTCTCTTAGGAGAGAATGTCTTCTCCCAGGGAGAAAGACAATCCCCATTGGGTACTCGCTAACTTGAGGTAACGCAATAGAAAATGAGTGTGGGCCGATTTCTCGTTTAGTGGTTTACGTTGAGGCCCATCTAAGCACCTCTTAGATAGCCCCCCGCGAAACTTTGGGGCAACCACGGCCACCACGAATACTGCCCGAAGGGCCGTACCCAAGCAGTCAGCCAAGAAGGTACTCGTCCGGCATTCCGTTGGGTAGTGTGCATCTCCCTGCTGGGGTAATCCTACTTTTGGGCAACCTGACCCTCGTGGGCACCCTTCAACTTCTTGGTTTATCGTTCAAGCAAGAACTTAAACCAAGCTATACATCTTTGGGTGCTCTCCTACTGTACGCGGCCGCAGTCGCACTTGCCTTCGGACTATCCACACGTTCCGGTAGGCCAATCCAATCACTATTCTTTCTGTGCTGTTGTCATCACACACCCAACTGTGCTCCAGTCCTTTTGATATCGCTGGCTATCAATCATTAGATGACCTCCATCAAAGAGAACCAAATAGGAAAAGAAATGCTTCTTTTCATTAGAAAAGAGAGCCAATTTCGAAGGGATCTCTTCCGCTTCCAAAGAGAAAAACCAGTCACCTCGGTTATAGATAGTACAAGAGCTTGTACACTAAGGCAAGTCATATTATACTAAATTACGCCAGCTGAAAATAAGCCAGCATGCAGCACCAATGCTTATTTCAGCCAAGATTGGTGTCGTATTTTTATAAATTTTGGTCCGATTGGTAATTGCTTCTTGCAACTCTTTTCGCACTTATCAGTGCTCAGTCCTTAGCCAATTGTAGCCATTCGTTTGTTTTTACTTTTCAAGTTTCAAGACACGCAAACACACATTTACAGATGTTATATCCTCCAGATGTTATATCCAGATTATTGTTGTGTTATTCTGTTTACAAAATTGTTTCCTTGCCTTATAATTCAGTTTGAATATCTCTAAAACTTTATCCTTTCGTTTATTTGTCCCCCGGATAATATGCCTACACCAACAATGTATAATGATATGTGTTTATATGCAAATATATCTGTGCATTCTTAGGCGCATAAGTAGATACTTGTCTTTATTGTCGCCATCTACTACCTTATACTCCATACTAGATTAAAGTTAGCGATTAGGATTTTGCTTCTGTTCCAAATAAGTGCTTTAGAAAACCAGCGCATTTTTTCTAGCTTCAGAATCAGAATTTAATAATTATAATTCAGATATATGTCCAACTTCCGTGCCGTTATTGCTTCTATTCCGATAGTACCACTTAACTTGAGTTTTGAAGTTGAGTTTTGTTCCTTTTTTCCAGCTATAAATAAGGACGAATTGATGTCAATCCTAATGCCCTTTAATTGTGCTTTTTACCGGCGACAAAAAATGTTCACTGTATAATCTGTGTCCAAATAGATACGGTATACGTCGTTTAAACTG